AAATTCGTTTTCAATGCCGGTGATTGATTTCCGGTCGTCGATTTGTAGGCGTATAAAAGCCGGTCAAGCTAGGAAAAAAAAAAAAAAGAAAAGAAAAACGAGAACTGCGACGACAATGGGCAAGAAAATACACGCTGATCGTGCAACCTACGACGTCTGGGACTGTTTCATTCAATTCAGTGTGTCTTCACTTTATTTAGAACGCCCACGATCGTTTCTCAGGATTGATAAATTATTTCAAAGACAGAGGAAGACCCTGAACTTATCTTGCACGTGATCGTGCAGTTCGTTCGTTTGGATTTATCTTCGATCACTACGACGAGATTCTTTTTAATCATCTAAATGTAGGCCGGGCGCGATATCCCGGATTTCGATATCACGAAATTAATTCAACAGCATTCCACGTATAGTAGTGTTATAATTAACAAACACGATGAAATCGGTCGTATAGCGATAATCATTAGCCTAATTAAAATAAATCCACGTGCTTCATCAAACGGAGGAGAAACGAGAAATACGGAAGAAGATTTATAAATGAAATATATTCTGTTCTCCAAATGCAATAATATTGATTTACTTTGTAAATATAATGAAGGATAATAACCTTTCATTTATGTTACGAATGTCTATTGAATTAAAAGAAAATTAATACCAGCACCACCGAATCAGAACTTTTTCTGGTTTGTATTTCTTTCGTTTTAACCAATCACATATTAAAGACCGATAGTTCTAGTCTTTAGTTTAATTTAATTTTAATAATTATATCTTCTATATACATATATTAGAAACTAACACTATGTCTCTAATAAACGATCAATGGCGTCTAATTTAGAAGCGAGTGTAACATAGTGTCACACGCATGAGCAAGGCGCTAAGTAGAAAAGAGCTAGCAGAAATTCTCCATCAAAGACTTTAAATGAAGCTTCGACTGATAAAAACCTGTCCTTAACGAAGAAAAACAATCTGGTGTACGTTTATTTATGACGAGGTAGCATGCAGCTCGCTCGATCGAGCAATCGGCTGCGTCCACCGCATTAACTAACGAAAGCACAGGAAACGCGAAAGCATTCTACATCATTCGCTCGTCTTTGATACACGTTGATACGATGCGACTCTGAAAAATATCGAATTCTTCCGTTTACGGAAACGAGAGACAGCGAGTTACGAAACCGGAAGACATGCCGGAACGCATTAGCGTGGCCGCCGAGGCGTACCGACTTCCTTTGATATTTTTTCGAAAAATAGTCCCGATATTATTAAAAAGATCTCGCCTTCAACGACAGTATAATGAATTTTCCCAGGCAAATCGTACGTGCTTTCAGAGTCAATTTTCTTTCCAACTATTTATAACGGTGGTGTTTCCTCCTCTTTTCGATTCTTGGACATTTATTTTTTCCCGCTCGACAGTTTCACAGATATGTACGACTGAATATTTTACACGACGAGGATGGTATATTGATTTTACAATTATTGAAGAGTTTAAAGGAGTCAGTCTAATCGAGAATCCTTCGGGAAAGGATCTTCCTTCAAAGTTTATGCAGTAAACCTTTGTTATCAATAATATTTAATAATGTTTAATATCTAGCTAAGTAGCAAATATGTGAATATATACGTACTGGATACATCTTTCACCCTTATAGATTTTACTAAGGCTAATAGAAACATTACGTCTATCTGCCACGATGCATTTGAATAATTTTTTGTTAAGTGTTGGTCGACAAAATCTTTGTACACTTTAATCAGGTTTTCAGTTCAATCTCTGCAATACCAATGTAACGCACCAATAATTTTAATGCCAGGATTCGATTAATAGTATGAAACAAAACGATTGCACGCAGCGAGATAAATCTTTTTTAAATAGTCCGACTCAAAATATATATTAAGGTCAAGTTGCTTATATACTACTCGAAGTATATTTAAAACGATCGACTACGTTTCCTTGAGGAAGGATAGTTTCGTTTAACCCACCGATGGATTAAAAAGCCAGAAGCTTCAAGGGTGGGAACCGAAGGAGTTCAATCGATTGTTCGTTTCACGCAGTTTGCTATTTTCACGCAAGATCGATGAGCAAACGATCCGGACATCAAAATCCATCTTGTTCAACGATAGACGAAAGCTAGCGGAAGGGTTGTTCCAACGATTAAACGACCTCGAGAACCTTCCACCTAACGTCGACTGAAGCTGCCTTACGATGCGTGAAAAAAATGATAGAGAAAGCCAAGCGAGAGAACACGGTGCACACTATGATTTAAGTGAACGGACAATCTATCGTCGTATGTACCATGTATTGTATCATCTTCAGACGATTACCAGAAGAAGTTGTGATGTTAAGTTTCGTTTGAAGAAAATTATCCAAATATTGAAACAACATTCCGCTAAATAGATATAATTGTAAACTATAATAGGTATTATATCACAGGTAATATAAATTATAGATAATATATTACCTGTAATATATAATATAAATGTGAATAGTAATGAACATTTCGATAATTTGAAGCAAATTTAAATTTAATATATTTCTGCTGCTAAATATAACACAACTCGCGTATGCATTCGATCGTTCAGTATGCTCGATTTAAACTGAGATAAAAAAAAAAAAGAAGAAAAAAAATTGTTGCGAAGCCCGTTAAGCGAATAAGCAAAGTTTGCAGAAAACATGTTGAATATTAAAGAACGCCGATATTGACTTAACAAGTCCGGAAAAAGTAATTTTAACTTCCCGGTTAAACATCAAAGTGAAAGAGCTTTAAATTGCACGCGGTCTGACTAGAGAAGGGCTGAAATTGAGCTAGAACCGAAACGAATAACCAACTCTACCGCCGCTTTACGAAGAGGTTTCGATAAATATGTATTCATGACCTACAATCGCCCGGAAGTCCTATCGATGATTACTATTATTTCCTAGTTATATTTACTAAAACACGTTTGACGCGGGAATGTTCCAAATATAGAAACGGCATATCGGAGCTACAGTCAAAGAAAAAATTAATGGCACGAACAGTTCAACAAGTAAAACGTCGCGAGATAAAACAAGTTAAATTCTGTTAAATTCTGATTGCACAATTTAACGACAGTCACCCCACTTTCTGAAAATCCTCAAATTTTGCTGTATCGATTCCATCCGAGTGCCACGTGCCTCGGAAATTCGCGTTCGTAATTTCACGTCGCATTCAGGTGTTACGATCGCGTGGAATCAGCGATCCCTCAGCGAACGCGTAACGTTCCGCTCCCAGGCGAGCACTCGGCCAATTAAATAGCACGCCATAACCGTAAAATCGCGTTGAAGCAACGAAGAACATCGGGCCGAGACTTAATTACGATGTCTCGACGCGTTGCTAGAGGCCTGTAACGGCCGGACGCGCGGGCAAACAACCTCATCTCGAAATCCAAGCTATCGCTAGGCCGAATTAATTAAACGTTCCCATCGTTCCCGGAACCGCCATGGGAAAGAAACGAGTTGCGTGTGCACATAGTTGAGGATGCGCGGTGATTTTAGTAAGCTCGGGAAGGTTCTTTCTCGCTTAATTCAGCTCGGCTCTGGCGGTTAACACACCCCCGGTCACTCTGGTCATTTGTCTCTGAAACTGTTAAACATCGTCCGCATCCGAATTGCAAATTTCAAATAATGGAAGACGTGTGGACGAATATAAATTAGTCCAGCTACCGTGCACGCGAACTTAGCGTTTCTTCGGTACGGGACCTAACTGGTGTGTACTTCGCACTCCGTGCTGGTTAAAATCATTTTCGTTCGTATATGTACTACAGTATGTTCGAAGCACGCTACGTATTTTTTAATTAATCTTGAAATCTTTAATTAACGATGTAATTCTCACTTTACAGCGTAAACTTGAATTTGATACTTGTTACGTAAGAAGCTCTATTCTATTCTACGTGCCCATGAAAATAATTAAAAATCTACAGTCTGCTCTACCACTAATTTCGTCATTTTAATCACTGAATACAATGGCGTCTATATACCGAGTCTTTAAACCAAGTCTAAACAATTCCGTTGGATGTGCAACAATCCTATTTATAAGCAATTGATTTTGCCTGTTCCTTATGATGGAGCTTCTATGGCTCAATGTAATGATAGTTTCATTCATCGAAAACAATTTATTCGCGATCCTCTCGGAAAGAGGCGAAGAATCACGGTTTCCGTGTTTCGAACTCAATGATGCTAAAGGACGTTTTACTGCGATTATCCAGCGACCAAAATGGAGAAGGTAATCGATTGGTAACACATGGAACGAACACGGGCCAACGTAGGCGGATAAAAGTTTCCAAGTTATTTGTAAAGTTAAGGAATCGAGGAGCAAATAAAGGAATCCACCGATTGATCGATGCTGTACACGTATTTGCCGGGAGCTTCTTTTAAACCTGATCTAATATATCCGATAATGTATCTTCATCCTCGAAATAGAAGCATCGCTATTTACATCTACATCTACGGGTTTCGCATGTCGCTACATATTTTGCTACGATCAAATATTATATTACAATTTACTATAATCAAATATTATAGTAAAATACGTAATGATGATTTTCATTTTCTTTTAACAGATTTTTTTTTAATCGGTTCAACATTTTTTTTTTTTTAATCGGTTCCCCTACATTTCACTTTCATAGTCGTACGAAAGTACTAACAAACAATACAAAATTGAACACAGTCGGATCTAATTATTAATAATAAATACAACGACGTGGTAAATTTCCAAAATTTAAAACGAACAAACAATCCATCTGGTTGTGTAGCAATTTCTTCTTGTCTTTCAACCGCACATTTACTCGAGATATCAAAAATTTTCGCTATTTATAGACTACTGTTTTTATACGTAAGCACAGCCAACACACTGAATTTGCAACAGCTGCACGTACTCGACGTAATTTATCGAGCAAATCCCATTCACGAATCCCAATCGTGAAAAAAAAAAAGAGAAAAAGAAAAAAAGGAATAGTCGATAAAGCAATCGTGACGGAACGCGGATGTTTGTCCTCAGGAAGTTGGAGGCAAAAGGGAGAGGCCGTGCAAATCGCAGAAGTTGAGAGAAGAAAACGGGCCAAGGCTGTACATCACTGAAATCGAGTAATTTCCGGTCTCCATTCCTGATCGTTGAAACGTTGTCCCGATGCTGATTTCACGACGAATTTATCGCCAGGACGTTAAATCACGCGATTTGAAGTAACGACGACGATTCCCCTTCGATAGCGGATGTCGAACATGGCTCCCGTCGATCGATGTAAAAGCACAAAAGGTTAGTAAAATTGATCGTTACTCGTTTATCTCGAGGAAGAGCCTCCAACCGTGAAACGTCATGTTTGTAAAGATAAAAAAACGAAGATTGTTGGAGAGATCTCTCTTTCACCAGAGAAAATAAATAATCCTAAAAAAAAAAAAAGCTAATTGATATCAATTTTCAGAAGCAGGTATTATTTTGATTCTAGACTACATGACTTTAGCGTTTCGCTTCTCAGAGATCAAACTGGACACGTGACACATGTTATCGCAAATATTAGAACATTTCGACTAATAAATTGAAGATTTTAGTAAAATCGATCTAAATCAATTTAAAAGATCAACTTCTTTTACAAATAAAGAACAAGAATCGTTACACTTTATCGTTAAATTACAGATTTTTCTACGCATTTATAGAATATTATAATGTACAAAAATACACGAACATCCAAAATATAGTACCTACAATATTCAACAGATGAAACAATTCTTCTGCTTCGTTTCTATTTCTTAATTGCCCTCATAAAAAAAAAAAGAAGCAAATTTCCACAGCGTAATCATCAAGTCACATTTTACTAAACGCAAAAAAATGAGCTGCCCGAGCGACAGTTTCAAATAAAGGCGATAAAGACTTTCATTCTGTAAAAAGAGACTCGCCGATTAAATTTCCAGAAAACTTCCGCACCGAACGGCACGACGGAAGGACCGGGTTGCCGAGGATCGAGTGACTGAAGATCTTCGCGAAATTTCGATCGACGTGACCTGGCGGATGCGTCATGTCGTCCTACGAGGGGCACGTTTACGAGCGGAATCTTACTTGAAGACGCAGAGCCGAGGAGACACGCGCGGAAAGCGTTCTAAATTACAATGTCAACGCCCGCCACGGACCCGCTGCCGTCCACCGTTTCCGGGGAATTGACGACCGCTCTTATACCGACGGTTACCAAGATCGATACGCGGCTGGACGTCAATCCCGTTTCGGTGGTTTTGGCCGTGTCGATAGTCTGCATTTTATCACCAATCACCGTCACCGGAAACTCCATTATCCTGGCCGCCTTCTATAAATACAAGAGGCTACGGACTGCATCCAATTACCTCCTAGTCTCTCTGGCCGTCAGCGACTTCGGGGTAAGCAATTTTCTTATAATTTTATGGTTATCACTCGAGGCGTATTAAGTTAATATAAATTCTTTCGTTCCTTTTTTTTTTTTCTTTTTTCTTTTCCTCCCGACGATAAACGAAGATCACGTTTGGGAGAAGAACACGACAGGGATATAAATTGATTTCTTTAATTTTAGTATCACTCTGAAATTAATTCCATGTTACTGAATTGGGATCTCACGGACGAGTTTCATCGAATGTAAATTAAAAATGAAACAGACCACTCGGTTCTGTTAATATTAAACAAACATGTGTAATAAATTAGAATTAACGAGAAATACGTAGAGAAAACAGCCAATCGTTAAAAAGATGTTGGATTCTAGAGTATGACTTGCCATGTTCTCTTCCTTCTGTGGTCTTCAAATGTTCGTCAATAAGATAATGTTATTCAATAGTAAATACTAATTATCAAAAAATTGGAATGAAACGATTCAGTCAAGTTAAGAATAATCCTAAAACAAAGTCCTATTGTGGAGAGCGGAATTTTATTAGAATTCATCTCGAAGGAGATATCAACGTTGAACTGTCCCATTGTTTCCCGAGATTGATCGTTTAACGGGATATATTTTAATTAGTCAGCCAATCAATCAGAAAACCACCCTCAATTCCAACTCGTACGATAGCGCTTCCACCGCGATTGATGTTTGACACGTTTTCACTTCGAGCGTACGGAACTTCCTCAAATTAATCGATCAAACCGTGCCTGTGTGTCTCATAATACTACAAGTATAAATAGTACCGTAGAAGTAAGAAATCGAATATATATATAATATAAATACGCGCTATATAACGGGGCAAAAAGTGATCTCTACGTGAGAAAGTAAATTGGAAAGAGAGAATAAAATTTCTTTGTCCGACGCCTTGTATTTCCGAAAAGATCGAGCTTAAAAATTTATCGAATTCGCGAGCATTTGACTCGCAATGCAACGCCGATTGTTCGTAAATCCGTCTTGCGTATAAATATTGTAGTTTTCTGTAAATTCACACTTCTATGCGAATAGACAGTAATCTTGTGCAGCTTGAAAAGGATTATACACGATATCTCGATCAAATGAAACAGCAAAATAATGTCAGTAGCGTCAGTAACACTTTAATCTTTGAAGAGTAAGAATCGTGCACATGTATGATATTTTCAACAGTTCATACAACAATCTAAAAGAATAAGATACAAGTACATGTCCTGAAAACAGTCAAGTTTCACGTAGAATCGCCTCGCCACAGCCTTAATGTATAAATCTTCATCATTGAACATTATTGCTGACGCTTTCGTTCACTCTGATCCAATCAATATTAATACAGTACCACTCCGCACACTCTAAACTACGTTGAAACAGTTTGATCGTTCAACCCAGAAGCACCCTGGCAAGTATATTTTATAACCTGCTAATTACCCAAAGCGAGGCACACAGCACGTTATAACACCCCAACTCGCTCCGTGAACCGATCCTCTTTAGCAAATGATCACGATACCCCCACTGAAAATCACTTTGTACCTCGTTCAACTTCACGCTCTATTATCTACGCGAGCTCCGAGCCCGTAAACACACTCGGGAAGGAACACTTCGAAACATACATACATATGTAGCACGTTATAAAGCTTTCATTCCTGTCTAATGCCTGTTGTTTATCGAGCTAGTTCCTAAAGGACGTGTTTTCGTCTGTAATCCTGCAGCGTATGCAAATTAGATGTTACTTGCACGTATAGGTCGGTGTGTTCATGCCCTTTGGGATGCAACTAGAGCTATCTGGTCTGCCGGAAAATGGCGTTTCCACGTTGTGCATCGTACCGTACTGCATCGTGATTGCGCTGTGCAGCGTGAGCGTGTTGGTGACTGTGGCGATCGCCGTAGATCGGTTGACGTCGCTTGCACAACCGCTCAGGTACAAGAACATCATCACCCACAGCAGCATCGAGAAATATATCGCCGTGTTCTGGATCTACGCGATCGCAGTCGGCCTCTCGCCTTTGATCTACGCGAATGTAGCAGGGGAGACTCAACCGCACAGGTGAGGAGCTTCAGTCCAGTCCTCTTTCAGCTTCTTTCGATCTGATTTCGTTTCGTTCGGAACGGTTATGTTTGAGTAAATGAAACACCAAAGTATTTATAACGAAAGGTTTGCAATATGAGAATTACTGAGCAGATACGGTAAAAAAAAAATATTAAAAGGTTTCGCATCTGTTCGATGGCTAAAAAAGACTGCGTGAAATTTTAATTAAACAAAAACACGGAGGTCCGTTTGATTAAATTTCTTTTATTTCGCGCAATTAACTTGACCGCCGAGCCTCCTAAGAATCGAAATTCTCCGTGAGAAATATAATTATATTAACACAGCGCGGGCATTTTAATAAATTTAATAAAATAAAATGAACGTTTTATTCTATATAATAGTTGAACGAACATTTCGAAAATTACGACCGCTCACTAGTCACGTTCCACAAACAAACACGAACGAACAGTGATGTAAAACTAGGAAATACAATCGTGTGATTGAACTTGTATTTTTTCTTTTTTTTTTCTTTTTCGCGTCGCGTAGACAATAAAGAAGGAAGCTAAGGGAGAGCCCAGTTTTTATTCCGATAAACGTACTTAATTTCTATTCCTCTTTTCAAACGTTTCATTGAAACAGAAACTTCATTAAGAGTGCATTAAGAAGTTTGACAGATTTCTATTCTTTCATCGTGTTATAGTTTTATAGTAATTGCACGATTGAAAATATAAAAATGAGACGAAATTCATTTAACAATTTTTAGTTAGCTCGCGTTTCCCTTTCCTTCGCGAGATTTCATCGCGAGATTCCATTGCAAACAACAATGCACATCTAAGATTACAGTGTGGAGAGAACGCGTTCACGATTCATAGAAAAAAATCACAGATTCAGACGTATGAATCAGGCGCATAGTTGCCTATCTGAGAAAATGTTGTTGCAACTCTGTTACGTGTCGTGTTTGTGTAAACGCAATCTAATCTCCTCGTATCCATTAAATATCAAACGACAGATTACATCCACGGAGTTCACGTAACACCTTATGCCCGATTTCTGAAGCTCAGGTAAACAATTGCGAAACGAATTTGAAGCCGGAAGAAAGAGTTATATCTGCCAATTTAACAGTATAACAATAAATTCAAAACAATCAGCGATCATTGATCTATAAACACAGCAACGCAGTTCAGTCAGACTGAATTTCTCATTTCATTTCATATTCAATGTTCAGTCGCTTGTGAAATACGAAACAGATCGATGCTTTAAATAATCTACGATCCTCTCGAGTCTTCGTTCTATGAGTAAAACGATCGAAAAACTTAAAAAAAAACACTTAAAAATACTTAAAAAAAAATTGGAAAAATCGACACGGCACAGTGGCATTAGACTCAAGAATCGTTGAAGAATTTTCCACGCGCGTCTAACGCACGCCTAACTGCGACAATGCGGCTGGCGTAGCACGTGTAGCGCAAATTAACAGGCGCGTGCAGCGTCGAATCAATCAGTCGATATCCGAATTGACGTAGTTATATAACTCGATCGATTGACTAACGAGCGAAACTAATTTGCTTTCTGTCACAGTGGCAACTGCAGGTTCGGTGCAGCTGTACTCCCACCGGTAAGGGTGTTCCTGGTAGTGGCAGTATGGGCACCAAGCGCCCTCGTTCTCCTCGGTTGCTACATGTACGTGTATCTGGTGGCACGTGCACACGCACGTGCGATCTACACGGTCGAGCTATCGTTCAGACATCAGACGCAGACCCTGGCTTTGCCACGTTACGGTCAAACGCTAGCAGTCACGGTCGGTGCATTTCTCGTTCTCTGGCTTCCCTTTCAAGTGAGTAGACACGGCCCCTACCCCCCGCATGACCAGACACGAATAAATCTCCATTTGTAATTCCCATGGATTAACGTGGCCTTTCGACGCACCGAGCCAACGCACGTTGCTTCGCTATTACTACGTTCGCACTACTTGCACGTCGGAGTCACGCGACATCAATTCTACTCTGCCCAGCGTACGTAGATCGTAATAGCGCGACTCTGACGTAAAATTTAAGCGACATGTGTCTTCTCTTTAATTTTTCGTCTTTGTTTAATTTTTTCTTTATTTAATTGTTCTCTACCTACGTGTATTTACTTCTTGTTCTATAATTAGAGAACAATTTTATTATGCAAAGGAAAGTGATTTGACGACTTAATTCAGCAATGCGTGCCTCTCTCTCTCTCTCTCTCTCTCTCTCTTTCTTTCTCTATTTTCAATTTTACTTTCAATAAGTTTCACAATCGGTCAAATTCTGCCTGAGCTTTTAAGCTGAGCTTCGCAGTTCATATTTGTAGAAGAAATTAAAAATTGCGCAGTATTGTCGTAATTACGAGACATGCGTGCATCTTGTCGAGAAGATTACGTTCGAGACTAATTTAAAATCGCACGCGCGTCTACAGTGCGCCGTTTGTCGAGTTGCGCAACCTTCTGCCGGCTATTTTTGTTTGTCTCTATTATACCTTTTATTGGTTACCGGCTTTCAATCACTCGAGGGGGAAAAAAACGATAATTAAACCGCGAAACGGACAGCTCACTGTGCGTGAAAAAAAGGTTGCAGATTATTACTTATAAACCAACAGCCCAAGAAAGTTACACAACGCGAGCGACGTAAAAAATTTAATAAGCACTCTACAAAGTCGAAATTATATATAGGAATGGGAAGAACTTTCGAAGCGAGATCGCTAGTTTTTGAACCAATATAAGAAGCTGTAAGTGACGGGTGAAACAACTCGTCGTCTCAATTTAAATGTAGAACGAGCCAAGTAGACTCAGCGAATTGTAATCTTGTAAAGCAAAATATGTTGGATGTCCGTTGCATCTCTTTGACATTGGAGGATTTATAATTCAAATACAATCTCTCAAGATAAATTTGCGTGTTACGCGTGGTCCAAGTTTGCAAGCCAATGTTCTGGTTTTTCATACCGGTAAAGTGAAACCAGTTTGCGTTTGCAGTTTCATCAGATCCGAAAACCAATATTCAAAAATGCGACCCATTTTGTAAAAGGCAAAAAGATGTCCCGCTCCTAGAGAGAAATTATTTTTATCAAATAAAATATTTCACACTATGCGAGTTACTCTGCCCTTTCTAATTTTAAATTAGTAATTTAATTATTAATTAATTAATTTTAAACTAATAATTAATAATTAAATATTGTTATTACTTGAAGATTTATATAATTCTCCAATTAATTTCTCCTCGATGATGTCGGAGAAATTTCATTTTCATTTGCTAATTTGATACAGATTAAACATAAACTTGAACCATCAAACTAAAATTGAAAGCTAAATGAAATAAGATGACGTCCCATTTCTTTCTTAACATCGGACCGCAAAAAATGAAAGAGGTTTAATTAATAATCACTGATGACCGACGCGATGATGAGGTTTCCGTGGCCTGTCAATCTCCATTCCCGCGCAAGTTTCCAGCAAAAGTTTCGCGAAGAAAAAAGATGAAAAACGACGTAACTTCCGAAATTGTGGTAACGGAGGAAGTTGCGGAAACGAGCGTCTGCTAAACGTGACGAAAAAGAAGTTGAGCTGGTCGTAAACTTCTGGCAAAGTGTTCCAAGTTTCCTTTACTTTTTTCCCATTGCTTGAAAAACAGTTCCAGCTGAGCGATAATTACAAAGAATTTCATCGCATGACAAAACAGACGAATACGAAAAATGCGATTTTACCGAGTAAGTTCTTGGCTCTGTAACAAATCGGCGACAAATTAATCGAATAAGCTCCGTTCAAGAAAGTTCATTGAAATTTTTTATTGCACCAGTGTCGTTCAATTTGTCGTTGCGTACGGGAAGCGACGTTTATTCACAAAGAACTGCGGAGCGTGCAGAAATATAGAAATTTTTTTTTATGTTCTTTCACTTCAATAAAAAAAAAATGTTTTATCAGCAGAACAAATTTTTGTCGATGAAAATTTATACACGTTTAATATTTTCAAGTGAAAATGACTGATCTGTAATAATTATTATGGAAACATAGGTTCGTTAATAGATATTTAATGGGTAAAAGATAAAAATTCTCTGGCGCTCGTGAAAAGATTTCACGACATCGATACAAAGATCTCACTGTCGAAAAGAGTATTTTGTGCTTAATCATGCAATCTGGAATGACGTACGAATAATGTCCTTTACTTCTCCAAATCCCACGCAGTTTGAAATCCAAATACATACATATTTCACTATCATGCCGCAACCCACGAAGGTTAAGATAAATAATTCCAATCCATTATTACAGAGGCATGCACGACGATTATTTATGCTCCGAATACTACGAATGCATTAATATCACTCACGTGAATCAGCGAAAAATGCGGAGATAATGACAAAACTTTCTGAACTTTCGTCGATTCTTCTCGATCTTACGTCTTCCTTCAATACGCTCTCTTTCCTCGCGTTACACGCCGTCGAAACTTAGTTTGAAAAACTAAACTTTTTTCCGAGGACAAATATTTAGCTGAGTTACGATATTTTTGTTTGTTTTATGAAAAGAACGAAACTCTTTACTAACAGCTGTAATTATCAATTCAAACGTAGCTAGCACTGGAACGCCGAAAATTAAAATTTCCAATGTAATTCATGCAATTTGCCGCTTTGTATCATAGAATAAGTGAAGAGTTTCTGTTCCCCTAGAAAACTCTTTACTTGTTCTTATACATCCTATTTCCGAGTTTCTTAACTTTGCCAACTCTTATCAAAGAAAGAAGAGAGGAAGACTCGTTTTGACTTTTAAAACTTTTAAATAAACTGCTCGGAACGTTTCCCGTGCCGTTCGTACGATACATAATCAAGTAATAAAGACCGTAAGGCAGACCATAAGTACATTTTTAACATAGGTAAATTTGTTTTGCAGACTTGTATGCTGTTGGATATTTTCTGCGGTACCAACATCCTCACCGAGTGGGCGGTCGTGTGGCTTGGACTCCCCATCATGGCACACAGCGGCGTAAATCCATGGATTTATGCGTTCCACCATGGCGAAATGAGGGTTGCAGCTGGTAAAATCACCGAGGAGTTAGTCGCGCTATTCGGAGTGACTCCCAGCCGTTACGGTTGCTCGCCAATGAGACGCGGCTCCAACACGAACATGGAATTGGCCGAGGTGAACAACAGCAACGAAGGCAGAAGGCATCCTGTAGAGGATTGCTTCGCGGCGAAGCAAAACAACGCTCTGTACACGAGCAGGCGATGCCTGGACGTGTCGGGGAAGCACACGGACATCTCGCCCGAGAGGAACATCGATCGCACGTCTTCCGGTAGTAGGCAAGGAGACATCGTTGAGGAGAGTATCCACGATCTGACGAAGATGCTCGACCTAAAGTACATCATCGATCGGAATCACATGATCGACTCGAACCACAACATCGACAAGATCAAGAATCTGAAGTATCTTCTGGATCCGACGTTCAACAAGATCAGACACCTGAGACGATTGAACCACAAGAGGCTCACCAGCAAGAACTTCTCGAAAGCGTCGGAGCCGAAGTTCATCTCGTATCAGAACTTGAAGAGCGACGGAACGTTGAATCGTAAGGCGTTGCACATGAACACCATGTCGGACCCTGTTCTCAGCGCTGACAGTCCGATGGTGCACGCGAAAGACTTCCACGACGGTCTGAGTCCTATCAACAGGAAACGAAGGAACTCGAACCTCTGTTCGATGTCTGATCCTAACATCAAAACGGCGACCGGGCTCTCTTCCGAGGTGAATCTTCGACTACCAAGCGGCGGGAACGTCGTCGAAACTCACAGATACTCGGTGCAGAATTTGAATCACAACAGATTCGAGGGAGGCCTAGCCAAACACGTTATGCTGTCCCGGCAGTTGGAGAATCAGAAGCGACTTCACATTTATCCGCGTCCTCGGATGAAGGTCAACGGCACCTTCGATCGAAACAGTCCAAATTTGAACTTGATGCTTCAGAACAGTTACACGTTGCCATCCACACCGGACAGTACGAGGTCGAGCTTGTTGGACAGCCCGAGGCAAAAGACGTCTCCGAAATTCATGACAATTACGTCCAACAGATTGGCCAATATCATTCATACGGATGCAATTCCTTCGAGAAATCTGGATTCCAGAACAGATCCAATTTCCTCCAGGGTGTTGCAAGTCCGAAGGAACATGGAAGTATTGAGACATTCCGAATCGATCAACACCATCGAGCCGATGACGCATGTGAGATTGTTAGAACCCTACAAAGCGATGGAGAGTCTAGCAGTACCGACAATACATTCGGAGCCACCGAGTCCCATAGAACCACTTCCTCTTGCATCACTACAGGAAGAAGAGACAAAGAACTACGATACGTCGAAGCCTTCCAATATCGACGGCTTGAAATCCCCGATGGGTAACAGAAGGAGCCCGGTTAGACACTCGGATCCTGTGATACCGACCGTTCTGTTGAACATCGAGGACTACAGCGAAGACCGCGAGTCGGTCTATGACAAATCTAGTCACGACAGTTCCTCCAATAATCTGATATCGTCCGGTCAAATGACATCTATAGAGCCGATAGATCTGTTCGAAGCGTTGTTGAAAAACTCGGAAAGATACCGGGAGGGAAGGCTGCCGGAACCGATCTTCGCCGAGCACGACTCGACGAGATTCAGCTCGAGAAGACCCTCGGACTCCAAGTGGTCGGAGTCGTCGAGGAGCCAGGAAATCCTGTCGAACGTGGTCACCGAGCATCAGGCGTTCCCCTCGTCCTACTCGGTGAATAATTTCCAGGTGTGCAACAGCGGCAGCGACCTCAATGATCTGACGTCTCTCGATCCGTTCATGTGCCCGGACGCGTTGACATCGTCGTTGCGCGAGTCGTTTTTTAGCGGCCCGTCTGTACCTGACTCAGAGATCTTCACGTCGTTCGAGGAGAACGAGGAATTCACCCCCGACTCCGAACGCAACCTGTCCCCGTACGATTCCGGCACGGCGATCAACTTGAAGAGATCGGCGATCGAGAACGATCTGCAAAGCAGGTCCACGGAATCCGTGTTTCGGAATAGATGTCTGTCGACGCGATCGTGCACGATATTACGATTAGAATCATCCTTACATCGAAACAGATTGCGCGTGAAACCAGGAGCGGACTACATCCTCAAGGATATCAAAAATTCGCATTTGGCACCGCTCGCCTCGCCGACACCTACAGAGATTTGCAGTCCCACCTTCGAGCTTGTTTCAGAGATAAAGGGTGACAGCGGTGTCGGTGTCAAAGTATAGATACAGTCGTGAATAAATCGGAAACACAGCTGAACGAGTTGACGAAATTTCAAATCGTTCGTCAGTCCAGACAGAACGAAATGAAACGTCAACTTAGAATTGTCTTTCGATCGCCGATGTTTTGCTCGTCGAACAGGGATTTTTACGATACATCATGCTCTATATGCGTCTGTATTTTTATAATAGTTCCAAGGAACTGAATGGAGAAATTATTCTGTTTCAAAGAGATGTACCGAAGCTAATAATAGATTATCGTGAAACAATGGAATCGAACTTTCAAGTTGGACTGTGATAGTACGACGTGTCTTCAGCGAGATCATAGAACGATCACGTGAGAGAGGAAATTCTATAATTGTTCAACAATGATTAATCTTTCGACTCCTAAGAATAGTTGAAAATTGTTCAAAGGAATTTCATCTAACGTTTTCATCTGATGAGTTTTAGGATTAAATTCGTTAGATAAATTTGTAATATATTACACAATTCACATTGACATACGTTATAAATATAAATAAAAGAAATTCGAAGCGTGAAAATTTCACGAGAAAAAAACATTGAAGATTGTAATTGATTAAATTGATCGTCTACCGATAGTGTCGTTATTGGAAAAGCAACGACGTCCCAATTTGTATTTATAGATATTCTTTAAAATAGTACGTTATATCGATTGTACCTATCAGATTTTGCCTCGCTGATCGCGGTTAACTTGGCCGATATCTAAACGTATTTCAGCATTGTTTGAACGTTACCGGAAACACTGTGCCAAGCGGATTGTGCGCAAGATCGTCGGAACCTTTCCTTTTACTTGCGATTAGAACGAATAAACGAAAACAAGTAAACTGATGAACTATCTATTACCGTTTGTGTACCTGATTAAAGTCGACAATTTGCAAGCGAACAAAGATTTTTCAGACGAAGTTACACAGCCAATGAGATCTGCCTCGCGTATTTAAGTTTCAATTCGTACTTCCATTCTCTCTTTCGACTAGATACGATCAAACCTATTTCCGATTCTTCTACGAAATTCTAAGCAACCTGATTATCGTCATTTTAGAGGCAAACACGCGATAAAATGATCTTCTGTAACAATGCTCAGAAAATGTAGATATTTTAGCGTTTTAGAGAAAAAAAA